TAAGTTACCTTGCCCCGCAGCCGTTTGACTCTGGCAGTGATTTGTAAGATGACAATAGTTGACCTCCAACAAGTTGACAAGGTTTGAAACGGTGGACATTTTTCATGCTGGTTCATCTAGCTTACTGGTTTCTTTTCTTTTTGCGCAATCATCCCAGAAATCAATGGCCGGACTCACAGTGGGAGGATTTCAAAGGGCTTAGAACTTATTACCTGTGCGTCAAGCCTGAATCTTGGTGGATTGGAAGCCTTCCAGGCAATCACTGCTGGTGGTCCCGCAACAGTTCTCAGTGTTTGCTCAACGGAGGTGGTTGTTCAGGCAGGAGAAGACCCAAGAAAGAGTTGCAGTCAGCGGATGCAATTGAGCAGAGAATCACAATGTATTTTACTATATCCTGCGATGTTTCAATACAGATGCACAGACTGCTTGAGTCATTCGATACTGCCGTTTTTCGGAATGGCGTTTCCCAACCATCGCACAGCAACAAATCCCAGGTGGCTAGCCTTAGCAGTCGAGCGGGCAGTGAGAGAAGTGCTTGCATCAGCCACGTGGAAGCAGGACGAATTGAGCGGTCAGTGCCCGAAACAGCGATTGCCGGCCGCCGACACTTGAGTTTCTGTTAACATTTAACGTTTCGGTTTGTCTTCTCTTTTTCAAACCACGCTCCTTGAACTTTCTGTTGGAATGCTCAATCTAATGAAGCACCAAGACACCCTATACACAAAGAAGCACAACATTTACGACTCGGAGTTGGTTGGGTCAAAGTGGGTTCAGTCTGTCTCTTGATACCTTTGAGCCATCTCGTTTCAAGAACGTGATTCAGATATTTGTTTGCTTTTTCACGCCACCTTACTACTAGCTAGATTATACTCATATGTATATACTTGCTGCATGTCAACGTTATTTCTGTACCCAAGGCAGAGCAGTCTGTGGCCATCGCAAGCTATTCCTCAACACAGATGGCCACTGGGCTGTTAGTCGAAAGCGCTTGGCATAAGCTGAAGTTGTAAATGGCAGTCGCTGCGGCAAGCTTATATAAAGCGGATGGGTCACAGCGAGTGGTCGCTTTGTGATCGGCGCCATGGCTTTTCTTCACTGGCAGATTTGGAAGGTCTGTTGCTTTCGGATGGCTCGACGCAGGCTGTCAAGGACTTCATTTTCGAGACTGATGAGGACTTCCTGAGGAAGGCAGGACCATCTCACACGCCAAAGAAGCAAATGGCAGCAGGTGGCCTGGTCTCGAACTGGGAGAGATTCAGCAAAAGCTCTGAGAGATTCAAATGGTCCAAGCAAAAGCATTTGATCCTGAAAGCTCTGCTCCGCTTTCTTCAGGCTGCAATGTACATGGGAATCGCTGTCTCGGGATCTTTGGCCTTGGTGATGTGCTTCTCGGCGCTGTCTCGGACGCGGCGCATCGGATGATAGGACGCGAAACATCACCGGACGATGCGCACCCAATACTTTCCTTGTACAAAGAAGCTTGACATCCTTATTTGGATTTATTTTGCGCCAAGCATCTCTATGTTCTTTCATTTCTTCATATATTTGCAATTTGAAACACCGCGCATTCAGGTTGGATTTGTTTCGTGTGTGACATGCACCTAGGCCGAGAGCCGCTACGCTTGGCGCTGACGTGCGGCCCCCGGCCTCCCTTTCTGGGTTCAAGCTTCGCAGTGCAAGACTGTGGTTGCTGTTGTGGAACCGGTTTGATGTGTACCGTACAATTATATAATTCAACACATGAATCAAATCAACGCAACACACTGTGAAGAAAAAGGGGTTGCAACACTTGTTTCACAGTTTTGAGTTTTAGATGGTGACACGGACACATTCCAAACACATATTGCAACACGGTGGGTCACTAGAAAGGAGACTTGTTTGTACTTGAATCAAATGATTGTTCTTGTCCGCCATAATATCTGCCAGGACTTTGCAGCGCATAATTACTGTACATTCCAACTCGATTCGGGCCCAGATGCTGCGCGATCTTGCCCCTAGAACCAAAACTGGGCTTGGGGTGAACAACATCTTTGGCCATTGCTGCAGAAGTTAGTATTGATAGTCAATAGTCATTCCAGTACTAGCAACGGGTTGACTCCAACGTTGCAAGTGGATGGATCAAAAGAGATGTTGTAGCCACTTCGCATTTGAAGCAAGGAGCCACCTCTGGAGCATTTTCATGCAGCAATTCAATACGAAGGACCGTCCTCTGCTGCAACTGCACACGCATCGTCTTTTCAGTGAAAGACAGCAGACTGAATTGGAAGTGAAAGACACGAGAAGCTTATGGCTCAAGGTCCTGGTCAACTGCAGGTCTTTTCCTTGCCAATCAGATTTTGATCCTCCAGCCAGCCAGCCGGATTCCCTCACACAAACGAACCTTCACATGAGGAAAGTTTGAGACCGCTACCCTCGGGAAATCTTCCACAAGGGTCATTTCCAGCAAGATTTTGTTGTGATGTTTGCAATGTTGTACAGCGTGAATACTCTGTTGTGCAGACTTGCCACTGACCCAAATTGACCAAATCAAAACGTTGCCCACATGCACAAAGCCTTTCAAATCCTAACCAAAGTGATCCAAAGTGTGTCACTATGGCTTGCTTTGCCATGGGTGTTTTTCTGCTCTCGCTTCTACATACTGCAGGCTTCCGGCCAGCTTTCCTTTTTAAGGGAACTTCCGCCAGCATGGGTGTCACGTTTAAGGCACAATGATCACGGTTTCCAACCTTTGTTTGCATATGTTTGCATATTGGTGACAGTACTTGTGTTAGCCAAGCAATATCTACTGTAAAGAACTTCTCTGTTATCGAGGCGGCGTTGGTGCGACGCCCCTTCGCTTCTCTGTCAGTGGCCAGTCAGCTGGTGGTTCCATGGCATCTCGGTGATTTCCATGGCATCTGGTGGGTCAACCGTCCTGGGTCCTCTCACTGGAAGAAAAGAAGCACCTCTCACTGGGTCTTTCAGATTCTGGTCTGTCTTTAAGACGTGAATCAAGTCATGCAGTTTTCAAGCTGGGAGGATGAGGTCGGTCACTTGGATGACTCACTTGGATTGCTGGGATCATTGGCAGTCGACTCTTCAGAGTGGACATCCACGAACGGAAAATCTGACTGATGTGAAGACATGTGGTGGGAGCTGGGAGCTGGGAATGGGGAAGGTCTTTACATGTGAAACATACAAGTGACATACATTACAGTCATTACATTACAGTAAAGAATTACAGTCTTTCAACATGTAATTTCATTCATTCCACCTTGTGACATACAGGTGGAATTGGATAGGTCGCTCACTCGTCAACGATGGCGCAATTGGACCGAAGGCCGTCAATCACCTCTTTGCCTACTCGGCCTCTCGGCCGTCAATCAACGGGTTCAATGCTTATCACTTTATGAGAATTTCTTAAGAGAATGGGGAAAGAGATGGAAAAGAGTATCCGCAAGAACCAGGAGCCAAATGTTTGCAGATGCTAATTTAGTTTCATTTGCTGTCAGTTGAAATTCTACCCTGCGCTTCTCAAGACTTGCCCTGTTCAGGACATCTACTTTTAGTTTGGAATACTATAGCATACTGCAGCATACGAATTATGGCGTTACAGGCGTTACATAAGTTGGACATTACGGTGAGTCGTCATTGATGCGCGGCGGTGCCAAGTCGCATGTGCGGGCAGTAGCATCAACAAGATCATCTTAAGTTGGCCGACACGGTTACGTAAGAATTCCTGATTCTCCTTTCAGGATTACACAGCGACGCACCTTTGCAACCGCTTTCGCCTACCGCCCTGCTGCCCTCAAGTGTGTATATGTATGTAATATATGCACAGACTATATCATAAATGTAGAATTGTAGAACTGCTTAAACTGTTTGTCGCTGTAGTCTATCGTGTCACTTATTCTTTTGGGACCCTGTAAACCTTTGATTTGCCCTGTCTCAGAGCCACGTGGATGGTGCCACTATCGCGGCGGGATCACCCTATGGCTGCGGGGTGCAGCCGGACGAGGACTGGGAAATATGGGCAGCATCGTAGAAGGTGCTGGTGTCTTTTCATGATTTTTCTTCGTATTTATCTCATTTCAGTCCTGGGTCCTGGGTGATGCTGAGGGAAATGTCACTACTGTCCCCTCATTTTCCTGTCGGCTCAGCTAAGCATGTCAAGCCCGAAATTGGACATCGCAAGGGTTGGTCCTAAATCCCATGGATCCAACCCATGAAATCCATGACATTCCTCGTCATGTTTGTAACTTGGAATACAAAACACGAGATCGGAAGCAAATTGGAAGCAAAAAGCTTGAGAATCGCTTCAACGGCCATTAATTTCGATTCGATCAAGACGCGATCATTACGCTGCTGCTGCCAGGAAGATCGCTGCTACTATGGTCATGTAGATATCAAAGCTTCCATCGCTTGGGTGCCGCTCTGGCTTAAAGACCACTTAGTTTGCATTGACGTTGCGTATATCAGCTCCGAAGGTTTCGTTTACAAGAAAGGCTCAGAATGGATAGAAAGGACACCCACCACTTGGCGTGATAGAATCAAGCGGGACACCCACATCCTTATTGAATCGATAGCGTATTGACTTAGGCCACCTCGCCACCTTAGGACACACGCATCGCAAGCATCGCTTGATTTGTTGAAATTAACTTAGTGACACAAAGGTTGTTCCAGATTAGGGTTCGAGCATTTTTGCACAAGTCTTATGGCGCTGAAGCATCAGAAAGTACACCATCGCCTCCATGTATAGTAATTCTCTTGCGGATGGTGGTGCAATGAGCAAAGTATGCTCTCGCTCTCGTTCCCGCTTCTCAAGTATACAACTTTCACACAACAAGTAAAAAGGTAGATGTTCTCTTCTTTGCACCACAAACATGGACAAGTACTCCCAAAAACGCCAAAAAGCTCACACATGGACCAGCAAAGTTTAGTTTGTGGACCAATCTCCAACCAATTGTTTGACCTTCTCTTTCGCCGCTGGAAAGATGCAGCACTGCAGTGATTCATCGCTCATGTTGAATCACTCAGTGCCAGTCTTCTACTATGCTTGCAGGTATTGGCGACATGAGCAAGGTCTTATTGATGATCCGGCCAACTTGATTCTTGCCTTTTGATGTCCTTAGATACTTATTCGTGGTGTCAGTGCCACCCTTGAGTCAAAAACGATAGTGCCATGCTACCTATATAGTTCTAGACTAAGAGTCTGGGCAATGCTTCGTGAGTGGCTTCAGACATTCAGTGAGACCTGCACCAACCTGGTGTCTCCTTTACGTAGGATTAATTGTACCATTTGGCATTGGTAGTCAACCACAGCCAGCAGCTGAGCCACACTTCCAAGTCTCGCACAGAAGCAGTTGTTTTTGAATTGGATGCAAGCCAAGGAAGAATATCCCTGTACTACTCTTCAATGGCAAGTGGGACGAATGTGTCTACACCAGGAGCCAGCAGTGCTGACTGATGCCAACCGGTCAACACACCGGCACTTGTCGACTGTGTAGTTCCGTGAGTCACTGCTGCGGTGCAGGGTCATGCAAGACACCTACAAGCAACTGCGGTTCTTCATGAACGAGAGCATGATTTTCCAACGGTTTTCCACACGTCCGGGACTTGGATCGCTGTGAAGGATTTGGTCATGTCCACTCCGTGGACTTGTCTATCTATTTCAGGATGTGAATCCTACGAACGGGCTTCTGCTTACAGTGGACACTTGCAAAGACTCTTGTAGCCTCCCACCCAAGAGATTTGACCTTCCGGTGCCTGTCTTGAGTAAAAGACCTTTGCACGTCTTGAGTCGTGTGAATGTAGTTGGCCTGTTTGCGTCAGATGCAGCCCATGTTTGGAGCTTGGACAATGGCCAGTGCAGCTGCCACTTGGCATCTATTGCACATTTGGACTGGCAGGACTGCCATGATATTTCAGCAAGGCCACAAGAACAGGCAATGTCTATATATATATACTCGCTTGCAACTTGCTGATCTGAAAGCTTTCAGTGTCAAAGGAGCCTGTTTTAGTCGCAGCTGCCGCATCCGAGGCGGTACTTGCTCAGACTTTGTTGGATCTTTGGAATGTTGTGACTTGGTATGGGTGAAGTAGCTGGTTGCTCAGGTGACTTGGTATGGTAAAGGTCTTAGCAGATTCTTGTGACGGAGTCATGTGAGTCATTCCACCCACCCAGGAGCTGGTTCCAAATCATGTACACTTCAGGTTTTGGAGTCCTTCAGGCCTCGGTCGCATCAGGGTCCCTCCCCCGCGGGTCGCCAGGGTCAACGCGCAGGCCCCGGGTCGCTCGGATACCACCGGCGGTGTCGATGCCACAGGCGATGTGAACAATTGCAACTACGATTTGAGTGGTGTCTCGGTGTCGAAAAGGAGGACTCCGCAAGGGCTTGCGATTCATCATATTTCATCGTGATGAATGGCAAGAAACCATGTCCTTTTTGCCTAGTTTTCATGAAGCAAAGACAGAATTGACGGTTTGCTGCGTGTGTTGCTTCCCAAAGCTCTCTTGCCTCACCAGGTGATTCACTCCGGGCATTCTATGGCGAGATCAAGCCACGAAAGGTAGCCCATCCAACGCTTGTGCACGTGGATCAGTGGCTGGAGCTGTGTAGTGCTGTGGAGTTGTTTTCAACATGACTGGCATGACACTCTCGCTCTTTCTACTTGTTGATTTTAATATCCCGAATCTGATCGAATCCGGACTCATCCATATTGTAACATCCCTGCCTCCACTTGAAATGTCTTCAGTTGAAGTCGTTTTGCTTTTCAGATTCAGTTGGAGTTGCATGCTTGAGATGGAGGAGATTCTGCGGAATTATGGGTTGTTGACTGCTAACAGAAAGATTTCGCCAAATTTGGCGTGTTTGGACTTGGAGTTTCAACCTATTGCTGATCCTTGCCCGAGGTGGAAGTATCTCCCACCAGAGGCTACCTTCAATGCGACGATTGGCGAACTTCCAAGGCCAGCGAAAGACACGAGCCTGCGAGTGTCTTATGCCTTATATGCTTCCAGTCAGATAGAGAAAGAGGAGAAGCCAAGTTGCGTCAGGTTCTTGAAGGAATGACAATCACAGTGACCACAATGACACGTCCAAAAGACTAACGGCACCCCTGAAACGGCCAGAATGGATTCAGCGCTGATCAGAGTTTCTGGGTGTTAAGGGTTCCTAGAGTTCGTGAATCTAGCTGATGCACCTTAGAGTTCTGGATTGTTTCAACAGCTTACAACGTGCATGACTGGAAGAGTATGAATAAACTGCAGTCGGAACACACCTGCAGAGTATGGCCTTGTCTGGCAGGGGTGGGCTGTGGAAGTTTGCCTTGGTCTATGTTCCCGAAAGCTGCAAAGAACGTGTTGACTCCTGCCGCATCCACGTAAACTATCACGGAGCCTTGGTCATTGGAGTTCTACAAAGTCTGGATCGCCAAAGTCATGGAGTTCTACAGAACTTGTTCGAAGAAGAACTCCAGCAGACAGATCTGTAAAAAGTGGGTTTGTTTGCGAAGTGGCTGATGCTTTGCTTTGTCCCACCTGATGAGGATGCATCAAGAAGCGGTTGGACCGCAGGCGGTTGTGGGTGTCTTGGTCAAGGCTATAAGATAGTAGAAGACTTATCAAGAATTGTCTAGACATTCAGGCGTTTGGGTTGGGAACATTTTCTTGAAAGAAATACAGCACCTTGGGGCTAAAAGATGATGGAGTGCGGGGCCTCTCTTGGCTTTCCGTGCTTCGATTATCAGCTTCCATGGATGTGCAGCATCTGTCCTGGAGAAATTCTGTAAGATTTTAAGTTCTTGCATTCTGTTAGTGAGTGGTTTTCCTCATTGCCCTCAAGAGATTTCTTGCTTGCTTCAGAAGTTTGGGGTGTCACAATGATCGGAGCTCCTTGATGCTCTCGACTCGTAGGAGCCAGTCTTTCAGGATCAACCAGCTTTCTTGAATTGTCAAACAGCTGGAGAGCTGAGCTTGCTTGAGAGGAGGCGTGAAAAGGCCCTGAATGCATCAATCACACCAGCCCAACAGAAGGACCTCGCGCCTCCAAGCCTTGGATCATCATACCTCATCACAGGTTGCTTGTTCTCAAATGCACAGCTGAGGCAACCTCCATCAATCTCAACGAGTATGCTGAGGCCAATGACATCATTGTAGTCTATCCGCAGGCCCATGGAGTCGGGGCTGTTGCGAACGCACATCGCCAGCTCGACATCGCCAGCTCCCCCGCAGCTAGCACGTCAGTGTCTACAATGAGGATGCGAAGATTGTGGACAATTCGGGTCATTTTACTTTGAAGACAACTATAATTAATGTGAAGTGGTGAATCGGTAAAATACTTGAGCATGTGGATTACACGCCGGGAGCTGGGCAGCATGAATTGACACATGCAGCTTTTGAGAATTGGCACATTGAGCTTCACAGCGGACGCCAGGCCGCAGGTAGCCACGGCGAGGGCATTGGGTGTGCCCTGGCAGAGAAAGAATTGTAGGTTTCCCCAGAAATCTAGGAACAAATCATTAGTGCGTGAGCTATCCAGCGTCCTAGCTAGGAGCTTAGATCATATTGCTAGTAGCGAACTACTCCCTGGCTTGATTAAGTAGGCGCCTACTTAATTGAGTAAGGAGGCAGGGCCACGGCGGCCACGGGCTTTAAAAAGGGAAAAGAAGAGAAAATACAAAAACAACAGAGTTCAGAAGTTTGGTCAACTTGTGGTGACAGCATTGGTCCCCCCACAACCTGCTTTAGCTCACGGGGTCCACAGCGACGCGATGGTGATTACGTGTGGTAATTACAGCATTTCGTTGTACTCGCGGGGCCACTGGGGAGAGCGTTGACTCTGCAAAATAGTTTCTTTTTTGGTGTTTTTGTAAGGTTTTTGTTGTCATCAGTGTCAGAAGATAGTCTGGAATTGCGCAACAGGTGAACCGCAAATGAAGATGATGTTGGATGGAGTGGGGGGAGTTTGGGGGGGCTGATTTCGCTCTTGGTTGATTGGATGCAGCACTTTGATGATTTGCATAATTTTATGTGATGTACAATTCTTCGTTCGTTTGGAGTCATGTTGCTTTTCGCTGGGCTCAACAGACTGTTTTTGGCTCGAATGTTTTCAAAATGGAGATCGTGCTTGTGATCTCGTCGATGGGAAGGGCATTGGCAATGACATTGCCCTAGGGCCTAGGTTGACCAAAGTTGCTAGGTGTTGGAAATGACTAGAATTGACGACGGCATTCCCTTTGGAAATCAGGACCTGTTGAACACGAGGAGTCTCAAGATAAATGGGGGAATGCAATTCCCCCCGCGTCACTAACGACCCCGTGACCTTGTTTTTCTTTTGTGGTTAAACACAATATTCGTCCCTCAGGCCCAGGCAAAGCAATTGGACACGAGCAGAAGCAGAACCAATATGTTTGCGAGGTCCCCAAGGTTTCTGCTTGAAGCTTAGGTTGGAATTGGGGTGACGAGAAGGCTGACCACTATTTTGATACTCGAAGGCGGGGTGAGCCGAGTGTGCTTTTCAACAGTGACTCAGTGGGCCGGAACTGTGCACTCCAATGTACCTTCCACAAAGCATTGTCAAAATCGGCGCAGCAATTTGACTATTATATTAACTATATACTGTATATATATATATAGTATATTAACTGTTATTCAGTTTTTATCGTACAATATATATATATATATGCATATGCAGTTTACAGTATACAGTATACACGTGGCTGCCCAACAATAGGACTGATCTTTCTGACTTGGCTGGAAGGAACTCATGCGTAGAGATTCGATGATCCGTAGCAGAGCAAAACATGTGGACTTCCATAGTTCTGAACTTCAGCACACCAGAACAAGTGGCCCTAGCTGGCAGTTGTCGCCATGGGCCTTATTGGCTTTTGCTCTCTGAGCCCAGGGCTGTTCAGCTCAGAACGATCATGAATCTCCTGGAGGATCTTCCCAATGCGATTCAAAACGCAAAGAATGTGGAGGACAGTTTGCTTGCGAGCAGTCTTTCCTTCGGCGCTTATCCCTCTCCTTTCCCCTTCCAGTGATGCCATACGCATAAAACTTGGGAAACCATGGAGAAAGAGAATGCGGCAGGGTGATTGTGCATTTCATGTGGCGTTGCGCCGGACCATGAGGAGCTGGGCAATGTAGAGGAAGATTCTGAAGATGCGAATGTATCCGTTGCATCATTGGTCGTTTGAGGAGCCGGGGGGGTGCATGTTATTGACGCATCCAGAAGGGACACCGGAAAGAACCTTTTTTGACTAAGACAGAGCCGTTGAAACAAGTTATCATAAGAGAGCCGTTTCTGTTCAAAAAGACTAAGGCTCCTTTTCTTTTCAAAGAACCATGTGTCAAGTTGCGGTTGCAGTAGCTGCTGTAGCTGTCAGAAACTTGGTAGATGCAGACAGTGGTTGATAGGCTTCGCTCATGTGTCCAATGAAAGCTTATTCTTGTTCAAGTTTGAGATGACCCGGGGCATGAGTGTCCATTTAGTTTATACCGTAATAATTAGGTACTTTGTACTTCAACTTTCTCCCCATGTCCATAGACAACGAACTTGGTACAGATCCCTGTTGACATTGATGCTTAGATGCTTTGATCGAGTCTTTTGTTCCCACTATTCTGGTTTTTGCTTCTTACGTACTCACATTTCTCGAGAAATGGAGGGTGTCAAGAAGGCTTCCGCCTTGCAAAGCTTGGTTGGAGACGTGAGCACCGTGAGGATCGAACTGTGGCATTTTCAAAGCTGCGTCGGTGCTCAAAGGGGAGCCCCTTGCTGTTTGGGCAATGAAAAAGGCTCCCATGCGCTGCTCTGGCAGAGATGTCAACCCTGAAGCAAGTGAGGGGCCTGAGGCGTGGTTAAGAACCTTTGGAGGTTTGTCGGAGGCTGCTAGAGGACAAGCGGAAATGGGCATGCTTCCCACAACAGCAGGGAGGTATATTTTTGGCAACCGCGCCCCTCAGGAGCCATGTGTTTATAATCTTTTTAGCTTTCGTGGCTTCGATGTCAATTGCACTATTGACGTCACTTGTACTTACAAACATACTTGATGCTACGGCATGGGGTGGGGTGGAGTTCTATTGACGTCACTTGTACTTGCAAACATAGTTGGTGCTGCGCCGGGGGGGGGGGGGGGGGGGGGTGGAGTGGGGTTCTATCGACTTTTTTGGGGTTTGCGGCTTTGGTTCGTGTACGCGAACGTCGAAATGTCCAACAAGTCCTTCGAAACTTTTACACCGGAAAAACAGCGTATTCGAATGCGTTCGAAACTGTAGCGAAACATCTAACACGGACCAAGCAACCCATTCAGCACGTGAACACCTCCCAAACCTCTCGATCCACCGTTCACCTCACTGCCCGTGAGGGGAAAAAACCACAGACCCACTGACCCACGGCCGTTTCAACTTCACAGACCCACGGCCGCGTTTTTTGGGACGCGCAGTCATACTTTACGACTGGTGAACGCGGTTCTCTTGTGAGCTGAAACTCTTCGTATCGGGATTTTGAGGACACAACTGTATTGTGACATGGTTCACACCCAAAGCCATTCCAGGTCATGGTTTATTTTAAAATCCAGATACGTGTTGTTTTGATGGCTGCAACCTATTTTGCGCACTTGCCTTGTGACACTCTGCGATGCAACGGAGAACCTCTTCCAGGGCCTAGGCGTTATGAAAACTCACTGTGCATTTCACTTCATTGGTGACAATGGTGTGAACCCGCTGAATATGTGTTGTGATTGTGCACCCACTCATGATGCCCCGACCCCCCCCAGCCTGTTTCGACGACTCTTCGATGACAACGTTGTGGCGATGTCTGCTGTGAAGCATCGGTCTGACATCGTTGTCATGTTGTGAAACATCGGTAGAACAAAACACTGCACACAGCAGGCGACTGGGGAGAGCGTCAACAAAAGCAGTCAACTTTAGCCTGTTGGAGCCAGCCAGGAAGAGAGTTGCCTGACAAGCGGATGTGCACTTTGCCTGTCTTTTGCATGTGCTATCCGATCGACCCAGACTGACTGTACCAAACATCCAATTTCCACCAAACCGTCCCATCAGAAGATTTGGTTCTTCGTATATGATGCACTCTCTTCACAATTGGACAGACCAGCCTGCCACCAACGGAGCTTTCCCCCTTTCATGACTAGCATTGGGGCAAAACCATGGCAAACTTTCAGAGTTTTGCTGTCCTGCGAGTGGGTTGCATGGATTCCGAAAAACGTATCAGTATCCCGTACCGGTCCCGTACCGGTGTAATTCTCTTTGCGCAGATTGAGGGGGCTCAAAGTATACAGTAGAAGACTGAAGAGCCATCCAAGATGGGCGAAGTGGTACGTGTGCCGACCGACAAGCTCATGGAGGACCGAATTCAATGAATGGCTCTTTCTTTCCTTCCAATCACACCTTTTCAGCAAGAAAGGCTGTGCTTCATAAGGCTAAAAGGAATTCTTTTAATACCTACTGTATTCAGGTATGGTCCAGCATGCGATTGTCTTTGCATCCTTCCATTTCAAAGGTCTCTGAAATGCATGTATTAATATAACTGATTATAATTACCTAGTTCACATGTGGTCTTGCTTGGCACTTCTACCCACGTTGCGGTTTAGTTTACCTGTGATACGACCACATGTCCCTCTAGTTGAAGCAGGCTTCCGTGGGTTTACCTTCACCACTTCCTGAAACACCCCAGAAGCCCAGAAGAGGTTTACCAACGACAACCAGGGATTCTGCCACGCAGGAGCAGAGAAATGGTGCTCCTGTTGTACTATGCATGTGGCTTTGTGTGCCTGCGTGCCTAGGCTTCGAAGACAGAATCAGCCTAGACCGTTTCACTTACCTTCACCTCACTCCACTTTCTTCATTCTCCCGTGATGTAGCCCCTGTTGCCTAACTTGACACTTGACAGGATTTAAGAGGGATCTTTGCCAGGGATAGACTGTATGCCATTGTAAAGATCATCACATCATTCCACATTTTGGCCCATGGGTTTCTCGTCCAATTCGCCACTTGTGGACATCATAGAGCCATGTACCACAACAACTCTGCAGACTGCTAAGAAGCTAACAACAGATGGATTTGTGGCTCTTCCGTTATATACCCACTTGACTGACTCAGAACGAGGTGCTGCTGCTTTTGGATCCCAATGCTGTTCTTCATGGGAGCAGCCAACGTTTTGCCAATTTGCCCCAACTATGACAGGAAGCTTGGACAACTTGAACAGAGCTTGCAGCCACTTCCATGCCCTTTCTGGAGCTCAACCATCGTTTCTCTCGGACGGTTATTCGTTAGCCACATGCATATAGTCACACGTCGGTTTCCATTCACACGGTGGGTGCATCTTTCGGGTGATACAGTGTCTCGCTGCAGTCGCATCCGTACTGTATCGGAGTTTGATCGCTCCGACTCGCGCTGACCTGCCGACCGCCAGCTTCACCATTTGGATGAAGACCTATGGCCTCGCTCCGACCCTCTGTGCAATTGCCGTGCAGTTCTTGGTGACTTTGACTGCGTGTTGCTCGGAGGCCCAGATTGCGAGAGCCATCGGCTGGTGGGGGTTATCGGCCAAAGACTGAACTGACTGAGCAGAAATATGACTGAGACATACTGAGACTTTGTTACTTCCTGATATGTCCTGATATCAACTGCGTAAAATGAGAAGGCTCATGCATGCTGTATTGTAATATATTGTATTTTATTGTGATGCTCTATGTTACATAATTAGTGTTACATACGTTTGAACTGCGTATAATTTGCTTGCCTCTTTAGGGAAGGCTTACAAGGAAGACTTTGAATGCGTGGTGTGTGTGTTGTACACCTTGGATCCACAGGTAACCTTTTGCTTTTTGGCAAGAATCTGCCAGGGGAGCGGTGGGCATTCCTAAAGTCACCGCTCAACGAAGACAATTTAAGTTTGCTGCGATATGCAATCTGGGCGCAGATTGCACGTACTTGCGAGAGGATGATCACCACGTATTTCCTCCTTGGTCCCGTACTTAACTAGAACAAGAACCTTGGCCTTTGCTTCCGTTTGAGTCTGCAGTCACACTAGGTCCCTTGGAACTTTGGAAGTGAAACGATGTCGGCCAGAGCTTTTGGAGATGTTGGACCTGGAGAAACTTTGGAATCTATGAGATCCGTTACATGTTACCTGGTTCACTGAGGCAGTTTTCACCTAGCCTTCTTCTAGGCGTTTGGTGGCCTTCGCACGAACTCTTATCCCGTGTGTGTCTCTCCTTGTCGGAGTGAGCCCAAAGAGTGCCCTCCGTGGTCCTGTTGAGCAGGGGTTTGTCTCTTTTAGCGTGCCCACAGGAGCAGGTCGTAGACCGGAACGTGCCCAAAGCGAGCGCAGTTGCCAGCATGGTTCAAGGTGGCCGGAGCGGCCGTACGTTTAAGGCTCAGTGGGTCCGGACCTCAACTTAGCGTGCACACCGCGCGCATACGTCCCAAACGAGGCTAGGTTTTGGCCCTCTCCTCTGGTTCCCCCCTTACGGCTTCTCCGGGACGCGTGTATGTACCTGCTGGAGTGATGCTGACACGATGCGATGTGAACCATTTTCTTCCCTTTTTTGCCAGCTTTCTCTTGCTTCTCTCTGTTGTTCTTTGTTTTTCCTTTCTTTGGTTGTTTTCTAGCAGGTTTGTCAGGTGCCATCATGCCATCAGGTCGGAGTCGATTTTACACCCGTCTTTCACTTAGGCCTTCAACTTAGGCCTCTCCAGGGCAAGGGGCTTTCATACCGTACGTACTTTTATCCCCCGTGTGTGTGGGAGCGTCTACATCACAGTCAGGTCGCAATCACTGTCTTTTCAAATTGGCATTGCGCCTGCAAGTTCTCACTGGCTTGGTGTACCTTGGCAGGATGAAGAGTACCAGACGCAATAGGGTGGATGGAAAAGAACATGTACTGTGCGTCTGCATGTTGCGACTGCTGCAGATGCCACTAGCTGCTACCAATTCAACCTAGCACTGTAATCATGAAGCAATGACAACTGGTGTGCGTTGAAGCCAATCACATGGAAATGAAATACATCAATATTCTGACTCATGTCTCATGCTGATACATTCCAATGCATGAAATACCATCACTACTGCAGCAGAAACAACTGCAGTTACTGCTTCTGATCATGCTGCTTCTAATACTAGATCATTCCATTGCTACTGTGCTGAATGTGATTGGGGCCCCTGCTGCTGTGATGTTCATACTGCGACTGTTTTATGAAACAAACACTCGGCACTCCTGTGAAAATAAGCTGTTTGTCACAACCTCGCTGGGATTCGTGCCATTGTGACGGGGAATCTGCGACGAATCCAGCGCCAGGTAAAAAGGAAGACCGTTGCATCATTTTGCTCGGCGGACAATTATATATATATATATTTTTCTTCTAGACTTGGATCACAAATGGGCCAGGGTTTCTTCCACACTGTAGAACTCCCATTCAGACTCGCGGATCTACACCAGTTGCTCAAACGTATTGTGGATGTGGTCGCCTCATGCTGTATATGCTGTTTATATCTGTTTATGGATCCAGAAGATCGTGGCTGTCGACCCACATAGTGTGGATTTGTACCAGACCTGCGGTTTGTCAAATTTTGCTTGCAATCTGAGGGGCGTTGGTCTGATGGCCTGGGGTTGGGTGGAGTATTCGCAGACGGAAGAGACGCCTTGCGTGGGCACTGGGGACATCAATCCCAGGACGTTGGCCCTTGCATCTCGGCAGCCCTTGCATCTTCTCACGACCACTTTTCTTCCGCTGTCCAAAGCAGTTTGTTGCTTTCATCGTAGTCTGCACTGGCACAGTCTAGAATCTATGTTGCTTGTTTCGTACATTGGCCATACCTCCATGCTTGCAGGTCTTTTTGATCTTTGGGTCCATTGGAGCTCCAGGAGTGCTAACAGCTGCTTTGATGAGGGGCTGCTGCGGCGATGTGCCCCTCAGCTGCAGGTCCGGAGGTGCTTTGAGCTGGGAAAAGCCTTATTTGCAAAGAACGGACGCGCGGACGTGGGCCATGGTGGAACAAACATCAAATCGAATCAAATCGAAACAAACGTCTTTCCTTACTTTTGCAAGCTTCAAGCAAAAAGCGAAGTAAGGAGCACAAGCATGTGTTTTCAAAGCGGCAAATCAGTAGAACAGCATCTTGCAGCATCTCTGCATCGTTTTGCAATACTCAAATGATGGTTCAGTCGAAGCTTCCCAAGGCACAACTGATCATGGAACAAAACACAACATAACCGACTGTGAATCGAAAAGAAACCGGGATAAACCGGGCAACAAATTCGTTGCCACCTACATTTGCCACCCGCCACAGCTTACCGAAGCCCGAATGGGGACGCTTTTGGAAGTCGCCGCTGAAACTGAGCAACACGAAGACGCAAAAGATGTTGCTAGCTGAGGAACGAGCGCAAAATGGTGAATGGAAGTGACACCGGCGTTATGCCGTGAGCAGATTGTCGACCGGTCATTTTGTAGGCTTTCTCAGCGTGCCTTCTTGAAGGGAATGCCACTGAGCATTGCGGCAGCGTACCTGCCTGCCTGAATTCGGCACGCCTGTGAGGGGATCATTGTTTCCTTACTTTCCTTGCGTGCTACATGGCACTATCTTTGCAGGGTGCTCCTTTGTGCAGAAGCAGATAAGGATGCAGCTCTACCGACACAACGAAAAGAAATGCCGTCCCAGGAGTTGTGAGAATGAGGGCACTCGGCTTGTTTCTCGTGCATGAGGCGCTTTTTCGGTGACATTCAGACTGTCCTAACTCATGAACTTCAGAACAACGGAAACCTAGTTTGTCCCTTACAAACATTTCAGAGCCTGGGTACGTTGGTTTTCCGATCACTGCCCAGGACATGACGTTGGCGGATGCGCAGGTCCTGGAAAATGCTGGGAACTCTGGCTTTGGATCTCTGAGACCTCTGGCTTTACACGCCTTAGGAGCAAGGATGCTACTAGGAGCAAAGGGCATCGCTACTAGGAACAAGGACGCTACTAGGGGCTCCTGGCCTTACTAGTAGTAACAAGAAGCCACTAGGAGCAAATTCTAGTTAAAATTTATCGTGTCCTCAATGCATCGAATGACGAGTCAGTCCATCGAATGCCCTGCGAAGTCAGCCCCAGAAAGAGGTTGATCCTCATCGATGGAGAAACCGATGTGCTTGCAGTTAAGAATACATTCACACCGCATTCTGCGACAGGGCCACTTGTGAGCATTGCAACATACTCATCCACATGGAGAGCGCTGCCAACTCTACAAACCGAACATGTTGGCAAGCCAGCCTGAGTCTGAACCTGCGGCACCCCTGACCCCTGACCCCTTTCATAGCCAGGTGGACAAAGAAACATCTCCGCGGCAAAATCGGGAGCAATGCTGCAACTGTACAAACAGCAACTCAACCCACGCGTCTTGAAGAGGCCGAAACAGTTCTGCGGGTCTTTCTGACTCAGGTGGTCACTCAACTCCTGCTCTTCCTGAGTCTCACTGGCTTCTGGTCCTAGCGCACGCTTCCAAGTGGCTTGGCCAGCGCGACCCCCCCGGTCGGAGAGCCGAAGTCGTCACCCCTCAGGGAGAGGATCGACACTTCGTACTGCCTGGCGCTGCCAAACCTGGCGCTGCACGGCTTTGACCAAGCACCGATACAAGAAGGATGCGCATCAACAGCTCATGATTGTTGCCAACAGCTCATGGCCAAGAGTATGTAAGCACAGATGCTTGAGTATTCCTTCTGGGCAAAGGCCATCCCAAACATACTTGCCACCACTTCCTACCTGGAGAAACAACAAGCAGGCTCCGCCAAGCGCAGCGGAGACCGAAGTGGACCATGGGTGGTTCCACCAGCCTTTAAAACACTGGTAACTTTCCCACTCTGGTCATCATGATTAACAGCCGGTGAACACTTTGCGGCAAAAGTCCTAGGATCATGCAGGTCTGTCTCAACCAACAAGCAGCCTTCATGCCATCGTGTAGTCCTCCACATGGGAGCGGCTGCCGGTCGTGCCACATTGGCACTGGGGCTTGTCAAGGCTATCCTAGCAATGCCTGCTTTTCCTGGGGCCCTCACATGAATACACACACAGGTATATAACTAATTATAGTTATATACATATAAACATAAATATATACACATGCAACTCCTCCATGTTTCAGGCGCAGAGCGCTGCAGTTTCCCAGCACTCAAAGATAGGATGAGGCGTCTCATTCCACAATGGGCCCATATCATAGTAGAGTTGCATCCCTGTGTACCTCGCATCCCTGTGTACCTCATAATGATGCTTGGCAATGGTATGTAGAAACCTCGTCCAAATAACATTCACAATGCAGCAAACTTGCAATCAACATCAAAGCACTTGCTCAAAGTCAAAACCGTGAAACAACAGCAAAGCATAACAACATCAAGCCTTGCAACAAATTCAAATTGATTAGAATAAGGGTCCTTGTAACTGCAATGTCCTTCACATGAGCCCCAGCACAATACCATGGTATTGCACCATGAAAGACATCCGGGCTTTACCATAAGTCCCAGTACGAGCCTGTTTGGCAGTTTGGCACATGTTTTACAGAGTCTATTTCTCAGTCAGCTTTCTGGTTACATGCATACAGTAATTGCTTCTTTATGACAGCGCCTATAAGCGCTGTAAGGGGCCGTGCGTTTGACAGGCTTTGTGGTTTCCGGAGATCACTCCACTCAATTTTGCCAAGCTTTTCCCACAGGATTCCTAAGAGACTGTCGCAGTACTTGCTTCACCAGAATCTTTATGACAGCTCATGCCCATGAAGTGTAGCGCCACTTGTGGGTTTTCGCCCTTGAATTGTATGAAGGTAGGCAGCTTGTTAGGCAGGTAGCCTTGGCTGCCTTGGTAGCATATCCATTGCATTTCTTGTGGCGTAGCCAATGGAGTCACTCCGCCTTGTTCCAAGTTCTGCAATGTGCTGGTCGAAAAGAATATGGATTTGTGCTGCATTTTGGTCGAGCGACTTGGCGGTGTCGACCAGTGGCGACCTTTTTGCTTCAAGCTATAAACGGCGGCAGGATGGAAGCACTATGAAATATTGATTCCAGTTTATACTGTATTCATTCATTTTGCGCAAGAGTTGTTCGCAACCATTTTGGCGGGATTTCTTGGCCAGAGCTGGGAACATTGGCCTGAGGAAGCATGTGGCTGACAAAGCGCAGCCCAGACCCGAGGATGTGTTTTGTTTTTTCTAAGACAGAAGTGATAGAAACATGATTTTACCCCAGATGTTGAATCACCAGGACATGCTGGGGGCCCAGCAAAATTAGTGGTGCAGGTTTTGGATAGCATGTTGTTTTAAATACCTCGAGTGGCACATTAGTCGCGTATTTGCTTGTCCGTCATGGGTGTGATACTCTTATTGACTTATCGACACAGTGCTTGGTGGCAGAAAGTAAGAAATCAAGAGAGGACCCGAGAGAGGCTGTACAGCAAAACGTGCACCCATGGCCCTCTGCATGGCCCTCTGCATGGGTCGCAGTCAGCCACATGTGTCCTGCTGAATTACTGTAGCCCTTTTCGTCTTGTTACTAGTAGCGATGGCCTCCAACCTACTTGCGATGGCCTCCACCTAATAGCGTCCTTTGTGTCAGGCAAGATGTTGATGTCAACATCACCCCCAACGTTGAGACTCGTCTTGAGCACAAGGTCCGAGGGACCCAAGGGAATTCAGACGGACGCTGAACATATGAGGCTGCTTAGGCAACCCTTTCGCTTTTGGATGATTGTCACGGAGACGGACACTGACAGACGGCACAGTTCATTTGCAATGATTTTGTTGAATTCAGTGCATATTACATCTTACAGAGTCCTGGTCAACATACAGCCTGTCTCATTTTTCACTTCTCCATTGTTGCACCGTCATTTTTGAGTTGTTGCTTCGGGAATTATATAATGCTTTTAATGGAACGAGATGTGGGAAGAACCCACACAAAGTCTTAGGACAGAAAAGGTCATCGCATTGATACAAAGTGAAGCAGATGAATGTGCCTCGTTTGCCGCAGCGCGTGTATCCGCACAACATGTTCTATGCCAGAAGCTCAGCAGGGCAGAGTGATTTTGCCTTTGGCATAGGTGCAAGCAGGAAAGTGGACAGTGGTAGTGCTAATCTGGAAAGAATTGCTCCATATGGCTCCCACCAGTACACTTCGGCCTTCAACGAGGCTGTTTTGTTGTCTCTAGACCTCACGCGCTCCTCAGATGTTTTGCGCTTCTAGAGTTCCATCGAAGGTCGGAATAATGAGCTTTGGTCTTGTAGTCTGCATTGGCGACGTGCATTGGATCACGCAATGCACACATCTTACGTGCGAAATCAGATGGCTACTCTGCGAAATCGGATGATTTGCTTAGGACAGCAAAGAGCACATCAATCAGTGGCTCCAGGCACTCATATTTGAAGCCTGCAAAGAAGCGCACCAACTCCGTGGATCATCCCCGAAATGTGCTACACCTTCAGAGTGCACACGAATTCCCTGTGTTGGTGTTGGGGTTCGCCTGAAACTTGCAACTTAACGCAGCTTCATGGGAGATGTGAGGTTAAACTGCAGCGAGTGTTGTCAGGTTTCAGGAAAAGGGATCTCTTGTTAATTTAATGCAACGTTTTCTCCGCGCAACCCTGGAGCAAGGTGGATAAATCACTTATCACTATCACCTGTTAAGAACTTTCGAGGCTCCAAAGATGCCGATAAACTTAGGAACCAAATCATTAGTGAAGCTGCCCCCCGCCCTCAGGCGGCCGGAGCTTTCTTGAAGAAGTGTGATCTATCCTGCGTTCAGTTACTAGAAGCTAACTTCCTCTAGCAGGTTACTGTACCTCCTTAATTAGGTAGGCACCTACTTAATTAAGTAGGAAAGACAGGATTTTGCCTTTCTACTTGTATTTGCCTGATCTCGCTCTGGATCGTCACATGAAACACTGTTCAGCTCTTCCGCCCCTCGCTCTTCCCGCGCCAGCAAATCCCCGAGTACTTGCGGCCGATCCCTGGCTCGGTGTCCATGATGGACTTGAAGGTAGCGATGGACTGGTCCGCTGAGCTTTTCAGTCGAATCTGCGATGCGCTTTGCTACTAGTAGCTTCTTTTTAATAGTAGTAAGGCCAGGAGCTACTAGTTACTAGTAGCGTCCTTGCTCCTAGTAGCGATGCCCTTTGTTACTAGTAGCGATGCCCTTTGTCACTAGTAGTGATGCCCTGTGCTACTAGGCCTCAGGTTTGAATCTGCATTAAGAATTTTGATAGACTTCTCTAGCGAATCCAGACATGCATGATACCTGATGCACGGAGTGTCGCAGAGTGGCATGATACACGGAGTTTCCGGACGTAGTGGTATAGGTGGCAGACGGTGGCAGTGACTTCTGAGCACCGCAGATCTACAAAGACTTCTATCAGCATTTTGCCAGCTATCAGCAACGCCTGCCTCAAGGAGACCATGTGGATGTAGTAAATCAGCAACAAACTTCAAACCTCCCACTCTCAATACGCAAGTGCTAGACTAGATGGTTATACCGACCCATGAAACATGATGCTTTGTCTGAGAGAATGAGGGTCGGCCCTCTTGATTTGATGGACGAGCGCGCGTGCTCGCTGCTGCAAGCATATCACTTGGTTTGTGGTTTGTTGCTGTATCATTGTTGAGGCCCACTAGTTTTTGACCTGGGTCCTTTCATGTTCTGCAACTAATT